TACCTTAGGGGCCCGCTATAACATATTACCAAGGTTCAATACCGCTGTTTCGGTGGGGCGGTGCTAGGGAAGGAGGGTTTGTTTCCGCGGGGTGGGCGGCGCTGGGGGGGGGGTTGTTTCGGGGCGGCTGGGCAGAGTTGAGGGGGGTGTTTCGGCAGCGCTGCGGGGGTTGTTTCAGGGGGCTGGATGGCGCTGGGGAGGGGTTCAGCACTCAGCTGTTTTCTTTTGAGTAATATGGCCCTTGCTGCTTGACGAGTTGTGCAGGCCTGCCCTAAACAAATGTTTCCTGAAGTCTGGTCCACAAACCAGCAGCTGTCTATGGAGTGCCTGCTAGCCACATGGTGCTACTCTCCTCTACGTTTTCAGCTGCTAAACTGCACTCAAAAGAAACTAAAGTAAAATTAGGAAAACATGTAATGTACTTTCCCATGTAAGCAACTGCTGCAGATGCCAGGAGGGTGTTATTTAATCAGCAACAAAGGGGAGGTAGTCCACACTATCATGAACAGGAAAGGGAGGTGGGTCCACCAGACAATAACTCTGTTAAGATGAGCTTTGAACAGTTTGAGAGCCCCCTTCCCTAAACTGTGTTCTCTCCTAGAAAAATAAGCAATTTCCTTAGACTTATTTATAATTCAGATAAACTATGTCTTCAGACATAAATATTCATGTATTACTGCTGGGAGCCAAGCAGTCTCTCTGTTTCTTTCTGAATTTTTAATATTAATCTGTATTTTAGATACGATCCTCCATGGTCTGTTCACTAATATTATTATATGTTTAAAATGCAATGGACACCCAGTTCCCCTTAAATCAACATTTTAATCTAGAAAATGCACTTGTTTTTCTCCTGTAAATTACTTATTCTATGTAGCTCAGTTTCAATTTTACATTTTCATGAATCAAGAGGGGAGGTTTTTTTAAAAATAGAGGAGAATTTGAACAAGATCAGGATTTAGCCACTTGAGGTGGCAAATATAAAAAGCCTACTTTTCTAAAAAGAAATGTAAAATCAAATAATTGAAAACTTAGTATTTAACGCTAGGAAAGGATCAGTAAAGATGCTGGGAAACTGCCCACTATTAACAATTGGAATGAGATTACCGACTCACTTCACAAAGGGTATCCTTCCACTAGAACCTTTAACTAAAGTTAGCTGACTGCTAATTAACTCGGGTTAGCCAACACATTTGTACACCCTAGTCTTGGCACTTCACAAATATTTGTTCCACAACACAAATGGTTTACATTAGGTAGAGGGTAGACAGACAAACTTTTGTGGAGTGTCCAGACTAATGTGTACAAACATGTTAGATAACTCAAGTTAATTAGCAATCAATTAACTCAAGTTTGAAAAACTAGTGTAGACAAACCCACAGATCACCAAACTATTAACTTGAGCCATAGACAGACCAGATTTGAACCAGCGGCAGAGGCTGGATTCCATATATCATTATCTATCCTCCAAACCAAGTCCCCTCTTTGTAAAAGAAGAAAAATTACATTATATTATCCCTCAATATTCACTTTACATCTTCAAGAATTCCACACTTCAATTTGTAAAATGTTAGGAAGCTCAACTTTTTCTTATCTAACTTTGGGAGCAAACAAGACCACCCATTATTCTTTGAAACCAAACAATTTTCAGTGATTTATACTACCACATTGATGTGCTGCCTTATAGAAATTATAAATTAATGGAGATATCCCATCTCCTAGAACTGGAAGGGACCTTGCAAGGTCATCGAGTCCAGCCCCCTGCCTTCACTAGCAGGACCAAGTACTGATTTTGCCCCAGATCCCCAAGTGGCCCCCTCAAGGATTGAACTCACAATCCTGGGTTTAGCAGGCCAATGCTCAAACCACTGAGCTATCCCTCCCTCACACAGTATAATCATTTTCATATCCAAGTCTATGTATGGACTATCTTCCCAGCTACTTTCCTAACCTATTAAACCTTTATTATTCCAGCTGTTTAGTAACAGCTTCAGACCTCTGAAGTGCCATACATTAACCAAAAGATATGAAGCAATCACAATATCTTCCTATGTTTATTCCCTTTGGAAATCCCTAAATTCCACTGTCCAGTCAATCTACCTCCCTCTCAACACTTACTCATGCTACTTTATCTTAAAGCTGAAAAGCAGGCAGAATAGACACCACTAGCGTGTGTTATTTATGAAAGGCTTTGAGAGAAATGTAAAAAAATGCTATACAAATAGAAGTTGACTGCTGTTATTAATGGATTAATTTTTCATGTTATCCTGTTCTTCACTTACTCCAGTTATATCCAACAATGCTATTTCTTTCCCATTATTTTATTTACCTTAGAATTACCTTCCGTGTGGTATTTGGCACAGGATCGGAGCTGAGTCACCCAGTATTGTTTTTCCTTTGCATCAGCAGCTAGAACAGAAACAAAAAAAGTGCAAAAATTGTGCATAAGCCAATTGACATTACAGAAAAGGGAATGTTTCCAGCACTTGATAACAGTTTAAAAGTAACTTACCTAAGTGAAATTAAAAGTCTATTTATTGCACGAGGCCTTGTAAAAGTGCACCAGGCTAAACCAATTTAGTTAAATCAGTTACATTTTCTCAGAGACAAAGCCTAAGCCTCAACCTAAGAAGATACTGTGTGACTGAAGAAAGAAGAAAAATAACTAGTTTTCCACAACTAATTCATCCATATGATGCAGTAAAAACTCTTATTTATTAAAATACTGTTACTTTGTGAATTAGATTTTTTTTAAAATTTGCTCCCAAATAAACATTACCCCAAATAATCAATTTAACTATTTTTACTTTGCAATGGAAAAGATGGAGTAAGAAATATTTAATTAAATAATTAGTTTAATATAATATATTATTTTGGCAGGTGCTTTCGGGACCTTAAAAAGTTGCCTTTTTTCCTCCTTCATGGTATATAAAGGAAGCCTAAAAAAATAAAAATTGGTGATTTTTTGTGCTTTGATTGGTTTTTTTAAAGAGGGTTTTTATTATAGTAGAAAGTTGTGCCACTTTAAACTATCCCAGTACAACCCACCCGTAGTGTGGATGCAGTTATCTCTGTGTAAACGTTCTTTATATTGGTACAGCTTTTCCCATATGGGAAGGGGAATACATGTACTGAAAGAAACCGCCTTTACACCAGGATAATTATCCACACTAGGGTCTGCAACAGTATAACTATTTGGGTAAAAAGTAAAATAAATAAATTGTATCCCTAACCAAAAGTTAGACCAGTAAAACTTTCAAGTTTAGATCCAGCCTTAGATATATCAAGAATGTAAAGTTGGTTTTGTGTAGTTTTTCTGGAAGACTGTTGGGTGTCAGAAGCTGTGAATACTTAACCATTACATTGAAGTGCACAAGGATGTTGAATCTTTAACAGTCTTCCTCCACTCACATGTTAATCAATCACTGAAGTTAAGTAAGTTTTACCAACCTCCCTCCCAAAAAAATGTTTAAGTAAATTCAATTCAGTAAGAGTTTTATACTCTGACTAAAAATCTCTAAAAACCCTAACATGCTGCCTTGATGCACTGAAAAGCAGCATAAAAGGGCACAAGCTCAATTTTTCTCCCCTTTGCACATCACCTTTAAAATTATTGGAAAACAGTGTTTGCAATTTATACCAGTACGCATTCTATAAGAGAGTATTAAATGTATAATTCAGTTATGATGCATCAACTACTAAAAATTCTTATTAGCAAACCACTTTGAATCATCATTAAATGCCATATCAACATTAAGAACACAAATACAAAATTACACATACTGCTGAATCTCAGATTAATGGTAATTCAAATTATCAAATTAATTTTAACGATAAGGGAACAGAAGAGGGAATATTTTATTAAATTCCTCATCAGCTATGTTGCCAGTATAACAATTCAGTAATAAGCAGCATGCTGCTGTGAATAATCTTGTAAATCTCAGTCAGTAGGCAGAGCACTGTAGAAGTTATGAATACACTATTCGTAACTGTTCAAAAACTAAGCTCCTTGACAGAAAATCCCTTTGTTACTTTGCTACGCAGCCAAATGTCTATGCAATTTAAATATTGTGTTCAAATCTTTATGCCTCTTCATTAGGGTTTCTGTTTGCTTTACAGTAAATTCTAAAATATGATGGCAAGCTAGTTTGTGGTTAAATTGTTAAATCTAGCCTAACCCTCACCACAATATTTTTTTTTAAAATACAAGTATATTGGACTGAGATTTGTCACACATCAAGCCAACCAACAATACTGCACCATCCCTACTATGCCACGGTTATGACACCATAACAGTAGACTGTATAATTTCCTACGGCAATGTACAAAATTGCAGGTTATTTTTCCACTGTATTGTCTAGCATGCAGTAAGGTAGCCATAATCAACATAACTTCAACTTGATTTTTTGTCATAATTGTGAAAGAAGGTAAAGACGAAAAAAGTTACAAGAATGGGAGGAAAGGCTAGTCTTATATAAGCATGTTTAAGAAGTAGCTAGTAGATTACTATACCTCTCAGTTTATATATCTCTCCATTAGCAAAGTATACTACCAACATGTGTGGCACTTCGTCACTGAGAGAGATTATAGCTCCAGCTAAAGACAGGGCTCCTCGTGGCTTCTGGTTTTTACTTTGTTCATTCACAAAATACTGCAGAATCCCAGTCTCAAAATCCAGCACAAAGTACCTGTTCAAAGAAACCACAATTGTATAGTTTTTCTTTCAAAGAATTTTTCACGCAGCTACTGAAAAACAAGCATAGGTTAAATTTAATTTAAATTTCACAGAAATGTTAAACAAGGAGGAAAACCTTTTTTGTTATATAGTATCCTGTACACTTGAGGATAAATGTATCAAAACAATACCTTTATTTCAGTTTGGTGATAATACAGAAGAGTCCAGGTTCAATGAATGGACATGGGAAAAGGTGTTTCTAATTGAACGTGATCTTTAAAGAAAGTCACCCCCCTCCACTCATACAGATTTCACTGAAACATCCCAAATGTGGTGCCCTGTCAAATATATCTATGTGCCAAAAATGGAAAGCTAGGTGAGTATGGCATTTTATGCCTGTCACTTCTGGGTTTGAGACAAGCCCCTGTGCCTGGCAAGGCACTTACTACTTTTATGACATCATCTGTCCAGAAACCCAGAGACACCTCTGCAGCCACCTGAGTCCACTTGCACTGTATGCGAAAGGGTGGGCCTTATTTGCCTAATTATACATGCAAATATGACCCTCTCATTTCTCTCAATACTTTTTTAAAAAGGAAATATGCAAATACTTTTGTACAGGGTTGAGCAGAACACAAGATATTACAAAATATAATCAGAAGGGAAAATATCACATAAGTCCCATTATGGCTGGGATTTTCAAAGCTGGTCTAAGGGATATAGACATCCAGTTCCCATTAGAAATTAAAGTAGGAAGTACAGAAACCAGCCTGTAGGATTGCAGTTGATGGTGGCTTAGGGAGGGGAATCTTCAAGTCAGCAAATCTATCACTTTGCCAATAAAATTCCAATAGCAGGGGGAAACCCATCCATCCAGATATTCAAATAACTAATAGTAGGCAGGTGTCAGTCCCAGTGAAAATCCATCTGGATAACAGTCACTGATTCAGAGAGTCATCAAGATATAAAGGATGAAAGCAAAGTCTTATGTGACCAAATGAAAAGAGAGTTTGCTTAAAGCAGTACTACCTGAGGTAAGCACTTTATTTGAAGCTTACATTTTAAGATTGTTTCACCAATCAACAGTCCACTTTAGCCATCTCAAACTGAGTTACTCTAGCCCAGCACTCAAGAGCTGGAAGCACAAAGCATTTCTACTAATCCATCTTAGAACTGTAGAAATCTTGATGCATATAAATCCATCTTTAAATCATGTACACTGAACCAAGTCTTCAATAATGTATAACCTTTGCCAAAGTAGTTGAAAATTCTGTCCTATTTCAGGAAAAATGGTCTATTAAACACAGCAGATAAGACAAAAGATCTTACGCAGATGCAGGTGGCCTCTTATAGCACCTAACAACATGTGGATAAGGACACTAAAGTAAGCATTTGGCAGGGCATTATTTGTTGTTGTCCTTCTGGATCAAATATTTAATATGGGAACAAAGAACAGTTTCATATTGCTATGCACAGATTCACGTCAGTTGCAAAGTGCTGTTAGTGATTTACAGTTCTGCAGCTCTTGTCTGTAAAACTGCAACTTGCCTTCAAAACAAAATAATAACCTGGGTGTCATCTTTGACTCAGCCCTATCTCTGGACCCAAACATCCAGACTGTCTCTAAATCTTGCCACTGCTTCCTACACATTATTTCCAGCATTGCCCTGTCTGTCTAGGCTTTCGAAGTTCTTGTCCAAGTCTTTATCTCACATTTCAACTAACAAACTTCACCTCTCTGGCACAATTGCTGCAGTCTCAGGCTGGTCAAGTCCACTCAAAGCTGCTGGTAGGACAATCTTCCCGACTCGTTCTAACCGCTTTGTTCCCCACTTTGCATGCCTCTACACTCTCCCTTGCATCAAACACAAGGATCTTGTCCTCACCTTTAAGGTCCTTCATACTTTAAACCTACTCTTCCAAAACATTTTTATTTTAACAGAGAAAAAGTGAGGTTAATGGTGCAATGAAGACCCCAACCTCAATCACCCACTTCCTCTGACACATGCCTCTATGCTTTTTGCTATGGGAAAAACTGCCCACCACAAAATTGGTAGAACCACTACTTTCACCTCCCTTCAAATACCTCTGCTTACAAAAAAAAACCTTAACTACTGAGATAATGACTAGGGAGGTGATGAGCTGAATCCCCATACAACCACCACTATTTGGCTGTTTCATCTCTCTGTCACATCTGGTCATAAACTTACAATTCTGAGCTCTCAGGGGCAAATATTGTCTGTGTGTTACTTGTTTGTATGACGTATATCTATGCACAATGGGATACTCATCTCTGACTAGGGCCCCCAACTGCTACAATATTAAAATAAAATAACTGATAAGTATGTTAAATCTAGCAAAGAACACTATTTAATAGCCTACTGAATTCAGTGGACCAGGAAAAGGGGGGGGGGGAGAGAGAGAACAGAATACTATTAGCGAGGGCTTTGATCTGACATTTTAATCCATTTGTGCCTGTAAGCTAGTGACCAAGCATTCTACCATTTTCACAAGTCAAATACAGTTTTACAAACTTAATGTTACCAGCTCACCTATTTATAATAAAATATTAATATTTAGGCTGGACTTTCCAAAGGAGCCCATGCAAATTAAGTGCCAAACTTTGACTGAAATTCAATAACAGCTGGGGATTTTAACTCACACAGGCTCCTTTGGAAAGCCCAGCCACAACCTTTACATTTTTGTATTACATCTCTATAGATAAAGGTCATGCAGGGGTTTGGAACATGCAACTTTCCATACTGTATAACTTCCACCCCATTTAGTCAAGTATAGAGTTTTGTGTATTTCTTCCCTCAAATTGGCTTAACACTTATTCCAAAGCAACAGCCAGAAATTTCAAGTTATTTTAAATAAATCAGTAATTTTTATCTTTCAGTAAGGAAAAAAACACAACACAGCAAAAACAAGCAGTATAAATCATATCCTGTTTGGACAAGAGCTTTCATAGGGTAAAGTCTGCAGTAGGCATCTTGAGATACAGGGAGACCATCAGTACTGAAATTTAGACAATTTCAAAAGGAAAGATAAAATTACTTGCATGTATTATACTAGTCCATAAGTCTCCCTGTCAATCTCTGTGATTTTGAATCCTGTTTTCCTACTTTTAAAACATTTTTCTCTCTTCCTTGTTGATGTGTGAAAATTTTACAGAAATGAGAGAGCTGACTCACCAACTATATAGGAAACGACATGAAAAGGGTAATAAAAATACACTGTAAAATCCACAAAGTAAACAAAACTGAAAGATTAAAGAAAGTATTTTCTCTAATCTTTGTCCAGTGTAGTAATTTTAGGAATTTACCTGTTAAATAAACAGGGTACAAAAAAGTTTCTAAATCATCTTGATCTGAGTGCATCTGTCCAGCAGTCCAACTGACAGTCTCTTTCAGTTTGTTTTCATGACATCACTTATTTATCTAATTAAATAAATTGTTCTCATGAAAGCCGTCCTGGGCTTGAGATCTTATTTACATTGTTTCCATCCCTTTGATGTTCAGCTGTGAACACACTTACCACCGTTTTAGACAGGTCATCCTTTTGGTCAGCGTATAGTACATTTCGCATCTTACGCCACCTTTAAGAAAGGTTATTATTGTCTCCTCTTTCCCACACAAATTACCATTATAGCTAATTCAGGAAAGATCCATAATTCAACAAACACTCTTTCCATTTCTTTCTAATCAACATGTAATTTTTGAAAGCGTTCCTGTAAACCAGGATAAGAAATGTGTAAGACAAAATATACCCTGTGCATATACAACTTCAGATAACACCAATCAGAAAGTTTTCATTTGTCTGGCATCTACTTTGGTATTAGGGTGATGTCTACCCTACAAGCGCTACAGAGGCAGCAACACCACTTTAGCCCTGTAGTGTAGACACTACAACGACGGAAATGATTTTTCCATCACTGTAGTAAACCCACCTCCTTGAGAGACAGTAGCTAGGTCAACAGAAGAATTCTACTGACCGAGATGCATCTATGGGGGCATTAGGTCAATCTAACTATGTCACAGAAGGCGTGAAATTTGTCACAGCCCTGAGTGGTGTAGCTAGGTTGAAGTAAGTTTTAGGTGTAGATCTGGCCTACCTTTAAAGTGCAGGAGGAACAGGGAAGGATTAGATTTCTACCTTCCACAGGTAAAAACAAAATGAATATACAAAACAGTGGAGAAGAAGAGAGGGAATGGACATCTATCACATACATTTTTAGAAATTGTTATAAGAGAAAAGAAAAATGTACAGGGGAAATCTCCCCTTTGAGTTCTGGAAGTCATTTCTTCAGAATATTACAAACTATACAAAAAGAATTCTGGTGCCAACTTGTTTACATCTATTTAATCTTCAGATCTTTTTCTCCCTTTACATTTTATTGTCATTCCTTTCACACAATATACATTTATCCAACAATAATACATGACTCTAGATTTCTATATTTAGTTTTAAAGATCAATACTTATGAAAATTTTACCATATCCTTCAGAAACTACCCTGGTGGGGATAATAGGGAAAATTACATAATACTAAACACTTACAATAGAAAGACACACACAAGACACATTAACTTAACAATAGCACCATTAACCGATGTCTCCCAATTGACAACACGGTCATATAGAATGGATTGTGTTATGAACGTTCATTAAAAAGAGTGACTAAAAGCAAATTAAAATGTTATTGCTTTGGCACTGGTAAAGCTGATTAAGCACCACTCTAAGCAGAAAAGTGAAGTTATATAACAAATATCCCAATAATTGTTTATATTTGATGTATCTTGGTCCTATATGAATTAATTCAATCTGTTTTCATGATCAAAATGATTGGTCATCTAAACCTACATTACATAATGCATATGAGGTAAAGCCAGTGTACATTCCTACTGTTAGATAGGATAGGATATGTTGCTGTTCAAACATTAAATTTGTCACCATCCATAACTGTTTAACGAGTGTTTGTTTGAGTACATCAGCCAGGTCCAAAACAGACACA